CTTGAACATTGAGCTAATTTTTTTAGTAGTAGCCTGTATAATTGGCTTAATTAGAATCTAGCTAATCATTCTCATTTTGTTGTTCCTAATTGAAGGATCTTTGGTTATGTGATCTGATACATTTGGTTAGATAGAAATAAATTTGTTTTTTTCGCGGGTTTTTGTTTTGCCTAATTCTCTAGTTTAGCAAATAATTTGTGATATGAATTATTTTAATTGTGTGTTCAAAACTAGTAACAAGTCTGGTTTTGGTTTGCTTGGTCAGTAGATTCGTGTCTGGTGGATCCCTCCCAGCCTTGGTTATTACAAGCTTAATGTGGATGGCTCAGTCCTATATCACCATTAGGCTGCAGGATGTGGTGGTCTCATTAGGGATGATAGCAGTAATTTTATTGTTGGTTTCTTTGGCTGCTCTCTTTGTTCTCCTTTAGTTACTGAACTTTGGGCTATGTTTTGGGGTATCAAGTTTCATAAATGTTTTCAGAGTATTTGGATTGAAGGAGACTCTAAAGAGGATTTATTCCTTATTCTGAATGTTCAACTTAACTCTCATCCTTTTGCTGCCTTATTGTCTAATATTAGAGAGTTGTTAAAACAAATTATATTTGTTAGGTTTGGTTACATTTGTAGAGAAGCCAATCAATGTGCTAATTGGCTTGCTAAGCTTAGAGTGGATGGATGTATTCCAATCGAATGTTTTGATACACCTCTTGCTTCTCTTTTCTCCTTTCTTTGTCTAGATGCTTGTGATGTTTGGACACGAAAGTGTGATCCTTAGCTCTTGTGTTTGGGCGTTTAGCCCCTTTTATTAAGAAAATAAAAATAAAATAAGAATAATATTGATTATATATACAATCAAAAATAAAAATATAAAATCTTTTTTAACTTTAAAAACTGAATTAAGCTAATTTTTAAAATGAGTTAAAAAATAATTTAATCATATTTTAGTGGAACATATTTTGTTTAAATGTTGCATTTAAGAATAAAAAAATTGAAAACATATAACTACTCCAAACATATTATAAAATTTAGTCCTTAAAGGTTTATATAAAAAAATTGAAATCATTTAAAATATATGAATCAAATTGTATACAAGTTTGAATTCATTGTTTAATGATTTTCTTTCCATGTTAAATGGTTATGACTCGTGAAATTAAAATGATTGTGAGAAAAATTACTTTATTTATTTTAAGAGAAGATTAACACATTTCATATACACCATTTTTTTTCAAACATGATTCATAAAAAAAGCGTGAAGAAAAATCATACATGACCAACAAAAATAAAAATAAAAAACATCTAAATTTATAAATTGTTTTAAAAAATGAAAATATTTCTCTGAAAAATCATAAATAGACATGATAAAACGTTGACAAAAGAGTGGTGAGTGAAGAATTTTCGTTGCTTGATCCAAGTAAGTTTTCCAATTAATGATATCTGATAGAAAATAGAAACGTATGAACAAGTACTGTTGATCCATCATCCAAGTAACTCTAAATTTTGAAGTATTTTGGACAAAACAACGTTTGAAGTCAATTTTATAAAAAATCAACTAATTCATAATTCAAGACTCAGATTGGACTCTTTGATATTTTTAATTTAATTTTTGTTGATTTTTATATAATTTTAGTATTGAATATAATTTTTTTTTTTGTAATGATACTTAAATTATGAAAAATTTCCCTTTTAAAAATTAATATTTTAAATTGAAAATTTTTACGTACTCAAATCATAATAAATTTGGTAAATCTGTTTATCTTTTTAAATTTTATAACATCAATATTTCTCTAACATTATTGACATTCTCCTTATAACGGACAAGTAATATATTTTAAAAAAAAATATATATGATAATTCACAATAGCTTGGCAAGTGATAATATATCTCTCTTACAAACTTTTATTCTTAAATGTTTAAGAAAAGTATTTGTAAAAACTATTTTTAATGAAAGCGCTTTTAACCATCGATGCTCATTCTTTTGACGTCCCGTGTCTCTTTGTTTATTCATTAATTTAAGTTTTTATAATTTATTTTTAAAATTTATAAATTTTATCTTTTAATTTAATTTAATATAGTAGAATTTAAATGATTAATGGTTAAATCTTTATCTTTTCAAAAAATGTTAGAAGTTCACAAATTTAAAATAATCATCTAATCATTTTTATATAATTATATTTTTATTAAAAACTATAATATTTAATATTATTGACGCAATAAAATTGATAATATATTATATTTTTAAAATTATTATATATAAATTTTTATTTTATATCTTTAAAAATATTTTAAAATAAATTGTTTATATAATATATATTAATTTTTTAAAAATACTAGTCACACTACTTATAAAATTAAGATAAAATTGTATACTCTTTTTAATTGAATGATTATAATTATTTTAATATTTAAAAATTAGAAAATAACATTGAAAAAAAGATATTAAAATTTCTTAATTATAAAATATACAGTAAATTTTACTTTTTTAAATTTAATTTATTAATATCCATATAAAATTCTTTAATTAATTGATAATTGAACCTGTATTACCACGAATATTGTTTTACTAATTTAATAAAGCAAAATTTAATAGGCAGAAAAAGTTATATGTTTCACGTATTAATTTATACAAAACTTTATCTTACAATAAATAATTTTTTACGTGTTCTTTTGAAAATCGAAAAGCAATATTTTGTGCCTGCCAGTCTCACTTTTCCCTTTAACTTTAATAAAATAATTAAAAGAAAAACGCTTATTTATGCAAATTAGTGTAACAAGAAATGTAATACGAAAATTTTATATATATATATATATATATATATATATATATATATATGTAAAAACCGGTCTTGAAAAACATTTTTTAATTTAATATTATTTCAATATTTTATTATTATTATTATTATTATAATTAATATAAAATAAATATCACAAGAATACCATTACATTTATTAAAAAATAATCAAATAATTTTTATTTTTTTTTATGAAGCAAGCAGTTAATCCAAAATTTTAAGAATAAAACTACAAGAAAACCCTGCAGTTATGAGAAATGGGTAGAAACGTTTTGTATATTTTAAAACTCCCTAAAACAACTCTTCGAACGAATTAAACAATGTCAATGATAACTCCTTCCTTAATGTGCACGAAATCGTTGCAAACATAAAACATTTGGTATGCAAAGTTTGATAAGTTCAAGGAATCACGCATGGTATGGTTTTTTTGACGTTCCGTTTTACAAAGTTTTGTTTGATCAAAATATTATTTTAAGTCACTAAAAATATAACGACAATCCCTTCCATTGTTTTGTTAAATTAACGACATATATCATTTTATTGTAACTAAAGAAAAATTAAGGACATATTAGTTTTTAAATCCATATTTAATCTCAATGAATGAGAAGAAGTTAATATTTTTTTAAATAATTTCACAATGTACAACTCAAGTAAATATCATTTTATTTAAAATTCATAATCTTTATAATAATATTATATAAATAAATAAAAGACTACTCACGTATTTATTTACTTATAAATAATGTCATTTAATAATAATTTTTATGAATTTATATTTTTTTTATTTCTCTGTCACCACCCTCATTAATTTATATTAAAATATCGAGCAAATATAATAAACTTATAAATAAAGTAGATAAATTTTATGAAAGTGTTATACAAATATAATATTTTTATTCTTTATTTATTAATAATTTTCATATAAATTATTGAGTACCATAAAATATCTATGAATTTATATTCAGTGCAGTAACTGCGCGATGCAATTATGTTATTTTATATTTTTACTTAAGTACACATATTTTTGCTTAACTTAAATAAAAATATAAAATTTTACCTAAATTCATAATGCAATTTTTGCATGGACTACACTGAATCCGGTCCAATATCTACACTTCCTTCCTTCTGAGCTCAGGCGAGCGTTTCTAAACACATGATACGATCTAGGGAGCATAACACGTATATTAATTGATTAATATTAGGAAAATATCCTTTTTATTTGACCTTTAATGTTTGTCTATATTTTCAGGTTTTTTTTTTTGTTTTATATATAAAATATATGAAATAAATAGAAAGTAGTTATATATAAGATTACGTAAAGTGTTAAATTTTAATCATGAAATTATTAGTATTATAATAAGAACGAAAAGCAGGAGTAGTGCCAGCAAAATAAATAATTAATCTTTGAGGTGTCCCACTTGTATTAAAGAGAAAATTCAAAATCAAAACGAAACCCACATATTTTGCTTGACCAATTTATTCTTAGGGGCACGTGAAAATAAAAATAGCATGAGCGAATGTAGGAAAAAAGAAAACAAAAAAAATATATAAAGAAAAGAAAAGAAACAGTAGACTAAACCACCAAATAAGAAAAGAGGAATATACTTTGTTCTATGTAGATATTGATTTCATAATTAATAATAATAATAACATATGATATTAAACGATAGTATAAGTTATAAATTAAGATATAAAAAAAATCCGCTGTTGAAACAGCCCACTGGAATGGCAAGCATGGCCCCTGGTTTTCTGAATTCTCTTGCAAAACCAACTGTTTTTCTCTCTCAACTAACCCTGCCACTGCTTCTTCTACCTCTTTTATACCAATTTCAATCCACAATCCTCACCCACCACTGCTTCACAATCACAATTTTCTATGCCAATTTGCATTTTTTTCACATCTGCACCTTTTACCCTTCAAACTCTACACAAACATTAAAAACCAGCTAAGGAAAACAAAAAGCAAAAAAAAGTACAATGAAAACTCTATCTCATTATTATTATTGTTATTATTAGTATTAATAATTACTATTTACCTTGTGTTATTATTTTATTTGTACCCTCTTCCCCTGTTTCCTCTGTTCTTGTTCCAATCATTCTGCTGTTTTCTGGGGTCCCTTTGATTTGCATTTTTGAGTGGTTTTTTGGATACCCATTTGCTGAATTTGAGTTTCTGGGGTTGTTTTTGCACTGCATTTTTCAGTTGGGGTGTAAAGTTGAGGCCTTTGTGGGTTTTGAATGGGTATTGAGAGGACCTTGGCTGATAGAAAAGGAAGAGACTTTTGTGAATTGCCAAGAGAAACCATTGCCAGCAGCAACTCAAGGAAGAACCGGCGGCGTCAGAGGAAGAAGCCGCCGCCGGTTCAAAAGCTCTTCGAGACTTGCAAGGATGTTTTTGCCTCTGGAGGAACAGGGGTTGTTCCTCCCTCTCAGGACATAGAGAAGCTTCGGTCTGTTCTAGGTATGTACGGGGTCTTTGTTTTTATTTTTTATTTTTCGTTTCTGATTGTGTTTTGTGTTGTGTGATGATGTTATTGTGGGTTTCCCCCAACTGGGGTGTTAAATTTTGATCTTTAATGAAGATTTTTGTGTGGTTTTCATCTTGTTGTAGACTAAATTCTTGCGGGCTATGTGGGAATTGGGTTGAATTTTTCCTTTTTAGTTGGAATTATAATAATTTGGTCTGGTTATAGACTTTGTTTTTGGATGGATCAAGTGGGATATTTTATTTGTTTCGTACTTTAGTTTATGTCTCATGTCAATTAAATAATATGAATTTATGTAGGTGTATTTTTTATTTTTTTTTGGTATTGCTTCAATTTCATAAATTGTATCAATTTCTAATGCTTTATATCACTTTGCAAATTGTTTGGACGGTGGGGTGGTTTATGGTCTTTCATATGCTAAATTTTGTTGTCTTTGTGTCTTAACATGCATGCATGTGTTTTATATATTTTGAGGTTTATCAAATAAAAGAATGCTTGTTATTATGTGCTTTTTGTTCCCCACGAGATATCTTTACATTGAAATTTAGTTCACAATGTGATGTCAACGCGTGTTCTAATATGAATAAGACATCAAGCATAGTGAAAGTCCTTTGCTTCTCTCTCTCTCTCTTCACCCTTTTTGTCTCATCTTTCCATTTAACATCTTATGTGGATAATTTGGATTCACAATAACCATAAATTAGGGGCCAATGAGCTAGATTATTGATTTGTAATTGTTTGCAATGCGTATAATTAGGTAGGAGATAGCCAATCAATGGACTTGATAGCATGGTAAATGTTTTCAGCAATTTTTTTGAGTAATCAAAGAGGGAAAATGGAAACTATTTAGTATGTGTTTTTTGGTTTAACAAAATAAAGCCTAAACTACGTTTATCAGGAAACAACTAATTTCTGCTTTACGGTTTACATGGTCTAGAATTCGTTGTGTTAACAGAAAAACAAACACATTTTCTATGGCTGAAGGCCTAGGACAAAAAAACAAGTCATTGTTTAGTGGGAGTTGTTAAACATAGGTATGTCAAAGGATGTTATTCTCAGCTGGTTTTATATGTTTGAAGCTTAATTAATATATATACTGAACTTTTGTGTAATTTTCCTTTGGAAACCACTCACTTAACCAGTTGCCTGGACCACACGTTCCTGTACAGCTATGCCAAGAATTATTAACCAATTGTCAACAGTTTTCATGAGTTTTATATATATGCCATGCAAAGCATGCAATGCAACTCTTGTTTTTCTCTTTGTGCAGATGGAATAAAACTGGAAGACGTTGGTTTGAAACCTGATATGCCGTATTTCCGGACAAATGCCAGTCAAAGAACGCCAATAATCACATACCTGCACATATATGAGTGTGAAAAGTTCTCGGTATTTAAAATCACCTCAACTGCTTTCATGATGTGTGAGAGTGAGTGATGTTTTTTTTGTTGTCACTAACCTTATTTTATCATATTTTGCAGATGGGAATATTTTGTTTGCCACCTTCTGGGGTTATTCCTCTTCACAATCACCCCGGAATGACGGTTTTTAGTAAGCTTCTCTTTGGAACCATGCACATCAAGTCATACGATTGGGTCGTTGACTTGCCTCCTGAATCTCCCACCATTATCAAACCGTCTGAGAGTGAGTAGTTCCCTATTTTATAACCTGTTATTTTATTTGAACGATTAAAAATTGATACTGTATGTGATACCGTATACAATTGTTTCTATCTTTCACTTATTTTATATTTATGTTTTTTTGTATACATGCATCCCAAAAATAAGGGGTGCAAACTACTGTTGTATCCCAAAGTTGTACAAAAATCATTTCCGATTTATAACCTTTCCTTGTTATACTATTTGCTATTTCTTATTTATGATCTCGGACAGACTCATACACATTTGTTGAAAATGAAGAAAAATATATGTTCATGCTTCGAAGTGTTCTGTAGACAATTAAACATGACAAGTTATATTTAGAATAGTCATAAATATAGAAATGCTGTCATTTAACGTTTGATACCCTTGTATGTTTAAGACAGATTAAATAAGAATTGTTTCTGTAATGGGGAGATGTAGAAGGAATGCCATTGCCAACTAGCATGTTCTTTCTTTTTAAGTCATATAATCACATGAATGTATTCCTGGTGAACATGGATTTGTCATCAAGGCCACGTTTTAGGTTTTTGAATAGATGGATATAATCAATGGCCACGTCTTTGTTTTCTTTGTTGTAGCCAAGTTTAAGATGCTCAGTAAAATATCACTTGCATTTATTGTATTTAGGGACTATTTTTAAACTTCTTTGTTATATGCGTAAAGAAAAATGCTAGTAATACACCCTGAAACTATTATTGAGTGAATTTTATGACTCACTAAATATGAAGTGGGAACCACATGATTCGTTGAGTTCCACATGAATTTTACATAATTGTAGTGTATCAAAGAGTGTGGTTATCATTTCTCTGTATGGAAAATGTGAACAATGACACTTATATTAGTATTTAAAAGGGAAAAAGTTCTCTTTTTGTAAAGAATGATGAGCTAGCACGGTTTGGTTAATTATAGTAATTCTCTTTTTAATTAAAATTGTTTTTGCAAGCACAGCTACTCTGAAAAAAGAAAATATTCATATTGTAATTATGCAGGCCAGGCTCCTGAAATGCGGTTAGCCAAAGTTAAGGTTGATGCTGATTTCACTGCTCCTTGCAACCCCTCCATCCTTTATCCAGAGGATGGAGGCAACTTGCACTGTTTCACAGCAGTGACAGCATGTGCAGTTCTTGATGTGCTTGGTCCTCCATATTCTGATGCTGAGGGTAGACACTGCACATACTACCATAATTATCCCTTTTCCAACTTTCCAGGTATGTTGGCACCCCTAATCCATGTTAGGAAACTATTATCTATTTAGGAGGAAATAATCGCTTTTCTTAAAATTTTTCTCTGTAAGTAAAATCAAGCTCATGTTTGGTTCATCTTATTTGAAAAAATAATCACTTATTTCTTTCAGCTTCCTGAGAGAACTTTTGAAAATTAAGCTATTGTTTTTCTAGAATTAAGCTGAATCAAACATGCTAGTAGTGATTTATTTATTTTATTAAGTTGAACTAAACGCATGCTAAACTAAATTTTTACTATTCAAACCTTGTATTATACTGATTTCTATTAGCTAATGGATTGCAATTTTTCCTTTGAAATTTCAGTGGATGGACTATCCATACCTGAAGAGGAAAGGAATGCTTATGAATGGTTACAAGAGAGGGAGGAACTTGAAGATTTAGAAGTAAATGGAAAAATGTACAATGGCCCAAAGATTGTGGAGACATAATAATCTTCATCCTATCACACACACACTCACACCATCTTTCAGTTCCTGTGATCAGTTGCTGCTGCTGTCAAATACCCTTATAGAAATTTTTTTTATCAATCTTTTCTAGTAGAGAAACAACGAATCTGTGTTCTTGTACCTTTTTTTTTTAGTGTTTTTCTTCTTTATGGAACATGAGGAGGCACTTGTCATGCACTTGGTGCTATTTTCAGTTTATAGCTCTTTTGTGTACATACCAAGAAACAGAAAAGGACAAAGAGGGTGCCGCACTGGAAACTGAACTTGAAATGAAGGTGCAATGCAATGAGCAAGTCTTCTGAAAAATTAAACCTCGTTTTGTAGGCTAGTGGTTTATTTCATTTAATTTACTTTCCGATGATTTAAAGATACAATTGTTGTATTTAATAAAAGAGTTAAAATCTGTTTGATACTAGCTGTGAAATTTAGACATTTATATATATAGCAACTTTTCATAGGATGTTAGATTTATAAATTCAACCGTCAAGTTATTTAAAAAGTTATTAGGTGATATAAGTGTTTAAGTTTGATATTTAATATTATATTTTATAAAAAATTGCGAGCTGTGTAAGTTAAGTTTGACATACAGTGTAATTAATAAAATTAAAATTATTACTATATCTTTTGGAAAAAAGAAATTGGGTCATATGCTAATGATACCCAATATGGCTTATGATTAATTTCATCCAATTGTCTACTTGGAGTTTGGATGTTAATCCAACCACGTTATGTAGCGTGCTTAAGGAATGATATATTTTTCTTTAATATTTACGATGTATTTTAAATGTTTTATAAGAAAGTATTAAATAAAGAATAAATAGCTTTAATATTCTGAAAATATAAAAAATTATTTTTAATATCATCTCTATCATATATGCGTCATTTATTATCGCATGTGGGAACGAAATACAACCTTCAGGTTCCGTTCTCAGATGGACAGTTTTTCATGAATCTTTTGGGTTGGTATTGTTCCGTATATTTGAAAGAGTCACTATTTTGGTGCAGCTTTTTGTCGAGCAAATCAACGTTACGAAGTTATATGAACAATGCTTTGCTTCTATCTCGTGGCTTTGGTGCACAAACAGTGAAATTAAGATATATTACATTCAATGGAATCAATATTAATCATACAATGTGTTTATTAAAGGATTAATAATGCAGACTAGGGGAAACAATCACGATGCAAAGCGTAGGGTGGTTATCTTCGTGATTAGTGTAATAGAGAATGCAACTATATATATTATCTCCATGAAACCAGAATTACAGAATCAGAAAAAATAGAGGTCATGTACATGCAATTGGTGACATTCTGCAGTTGTCGAGTTGTTTAGCCTTTAATTATATAATTTCTTTAAATTTAAATGTTTATTACATGAGAAATATATAAATTCATAGTAAATATTTTTCTAATAAAATCTTACTAGTATTAATTATTTAAACTTAACTCTAAAGATTAGAGTAAACGTACCGTTAATTAAACGCAGTAATCTCTTTGAGAATATGTTTTGGTGAATGAAATTAAATACATGAAGATAATTTGCAAGGATATATATGGTGGACCAGCAAGGTTGATATTATATAGTTCAAATGAGTTTCCTTGCTGTTATACAAAAGTGCAGTTGCATGCATGCATGCATGCATGCATGATGGTGACGGCATAATTCATGTGAGATAAGTGAAATTGTAAATGTTTCAATATATATGTTATCATAGGACCTGTTGGAAAGTGTTGCTTCAATATATATGTTTGTTTGGCTTTTCTAATTAACCAGATTCTTGACCTTAAGACACAAGGAAAAGTGAGAGAGAAGAAAGGGGCATGCATGTATGATTTCAAGCACGTGATGGAGACATGGAGATGAAGCATTGGAGATGACGTAAAGGTGACTTTTGCAGCAACAATGGGGCATAATTTATTTATAAATTAATACAGTTCTCTTATTTAAATATTTAAAAAATTATAATGCATGCCTTTCTTTGTGTCTTTTTTATATATACATATTTAAAACTATTCTCCAAAGTTAAAAGTGATATAAGAAAAATCATAAAAAAAGATGTATAAAAAAATCCCACTTTCGATTACAAAAAATATTTTTCATTCTAATAAGAGTAAGAAAAATTCAATTAGTTTACACTTACTATAAAAAGCCTTTTTTAAAAAAAAAATATTTTTCTTTTTTTTTCCATCTCCTGTCAAATAATTTAGTGCAGTGTATGAGATGTACAATTAAAGGGTGTAAAGTGCACGTATGAACCAAATATTATTGTATTACTCTCTTCATTTTTTTTCTCTGTTACTAAAGTAGTGCATAAAGATTAAGAAATATTTAATGATGTATAATTTTAGATATTTGTTAAGCAGTACTTTTAGGACATTTGTTAAGAAATTAAAATTAAAGAGTTTATAATAAAAAGAAGTTAGAATGCATTAAAAATAACAAGAAGAGGTACATTAATAATGTCCTTTAACGAAATCTTTCTGCTTTTGATTACTTGACCAATGTTTTTCATAATTCTATTATATCTTAACAAAAATATTCTCATTTAAACTCTTGTCTATTATAATTCTTTTCATAAATAAGAGATATAATTATCTACAATATTAATTAGGAATGTATTAAAAAATTAAATTAATCTTGAATTTTAAACAACAAAAGTTTTGAAACATAAGTAAAAAACCAACATAAGAAGGCATGGAAGGAGTAATAGTTATTCTTATTTTCTGGATTTGATCAAATTTGAGGACAAAACAAGCGTTTTCGGCCCAATTAAACGCTTTAAAGTTCAATGAGAAACGTAATAACCAATCGAAAAAAACACTACTCAATCAACCTGTGGTTGTTTATCAGATGTTTTTGGTCCGAAGTGTTTCTTTGTCAGCTATGTGGTGCGTTGCATAAATGGGCCTTCTTTTGGGCTTAGTGGTCCTTTTTGATATTTGTACCTTGAGATATAAAGAAAATATTGTAGTAGACCACAAAAAAATGGGGCAAATTTATTAAAATATTGTAAATTCAAAAACAATTTATTATTTTATAGGAAATCTGAAACAATTTCTCAATCTGGGGTATTTTTGCCACGTGGAACAGAATTTCGCCAAACGGATGGCGAAAGTATTAACTGTTTCGCCAAAAAAAGAACGAAATACGACTTCTTAGAGCGGTTAAAATGGAACCGCTCTCATAGATCTATTTAAGAACCGCTCTCATAACCCATTTTAGAGAGCGATTCAACAGGAACCGCTCTCATAACCCATTTTAGAGAGCGGTTCAACAGGAACCGCTCTCATAACCCATTTTAGAGAGCAGTTCAAAAGGAACCGCTCTCATAACTCCTTTTAGAGAGCGGTTCCATTTGAACCGCTCTCATAACCCATTTTAAAAGAGCGGTTCAATTTGAACCGCTCTCTTAGGTATTACAGCATCTCGTGTCAGGAGTTTCGCCAACCGAAATGCGAAATGTAATGCAGTTTCGCATATTTGATGGCAAAAATTTTCTTTTAATATATTTTTAAAATAATTTCATTACCGGACTGGCGAAACAAATACCTCTTTCTTCATTTTCCTGGCTAAATAGAATGCTATATATATCTCCCACCAATCTCTCATTTTCATCGGAAGGACAGAAGAAAATCTCAGGTATGTGTTATTTAATAATTTTATTATTTAATTTTGAATGTATAATTTTAGTTATATTTAATTAATGAGTATTGTTTATTTTATTTATGTTAATTATTGTAAAGTTTAAATATTAAATAAAGTTTATTTGAATAAAATGCAGGATGAGTGGGATTGTTATTATTATATATTGGAATGGTAGAATCTATGAAGGAAATGAAGGAGTAAGTTTTGAAGGATGTAAAAAAGTAATTCAAATAAAACGAGGAATAAGTTATGAAACATTGAAAAGAAAAATTCATGTGAAACTCAATCTTAATCATAATCAAGTGATTTCTAGATTAATTTCTCGTTTTTTGATTGATGAAAATATTAGACAGTATACAACTTTGGATATATGTGATGATGAAGATATTGATTGTATGATAAGTGCATTTCAACAACAATCTCGTAGAAATATTATTGAGTTATATGTAGATATTGCTGTTGGTGGAAGTTCATCAATGTCCTTACAGACGATGAATTTAAATTTATCACTTTCACAACAAAATGATAGGACCCTTGTGAGTCGTGATTATAATGAAGGTAAAATTATTTTTGTTCTAATGTCTTTTATTTAATATATGTAATTGATTGAATTAAAACTGATAAATTTGTTGCAATAAAGGAGTTAGGAATAATGCTGATGAAGATAATGAACACTCAGATTATGAGAGTTACACTGATGGAGATGATGAAGCAGAAATTTCATTAGGCAGTTCTTCTTTTACTGATGTTGTAGGCGAGTTTAATTCCAACTTACATATACAAGTAACCGAAAATGTAGGAGGTAATGTGAAATAAATATAAAGAATTTGTTTTTTGTGGTTATTTATTTATATATTAATGATTTTTTGTGAAATAATTATAAAGAATTTGTTTTTTGTGAAATAATAATAATGCAGAAGATACTGTAATTCCTTTTTGGAATGTTACTCCAAAGTATAAGTATATTAATTGGGAATATCCTGATCAAAAAATGGATGAAGAACATCTTCAAGAAGTCAATTCATGGGTTGAAGGAGATCCTTATTTGTTGGCTTATATTTTGACAGTAAAGAAGATGTGAAGAATGCATTGAAACATTACGCAATGAAGATTCATCAAAGTTATTTTGTGGCTGAGTCTAAACCAACATGTTTGTACGTTAAATGCTTAAATCATACCTCTGGTTGTCCATGGAGAGTGAGGGCTTCATTGTTGAAGAATTCAAACAAGTGGAAAATTACTAGGTGGGGTGGTTCACATACATGTGTCAATATGAGAATTTCTCAAGATCATCAAAAGTTAGATTCTGATTTAATTTGTTCATGCATTCTTGGTAAGTAAAATATCAAGTTTTTTATTTTATTTTTACAATGACATTGTTATTAACTTGAGAAAATTTATTTTATGTAGGAATGGTCAACGAGGAACCGTCGGTACATATTTCATTGATACAAGAACGAATATGTGCTCAGTTTGGATATAAAATTTCATATAAAAAAGCTTGGAAGGCGAAGCAAAAAGCCATTGTTAAAGTATTTGGTGATTGGGATGAATCATATGCTACCTTGCCTCATTGGTTAGAATACATGCAATTAAATTCTCCTGGATCTGTTTATAAACTTGATACAAAAGAGTATGTGGTTGGT